ATTTCGTCGAAGCACTGGCGCACGCTGGAAATTGTTGTTGCCACGTCCTCGCCTTGTCGCTAGGCGACAGATTTTGTCGCCATACTATAGCTTTGTCGTCTTACGCTGGAGTCAGATTTTTATTCGTGGTTTTTCGAAAAAATTCGGGAATGTTCTTGCTTGCTAGAATGTACCTGCATTTATATTTTGGACTATAGAACTTTTCTTATCTTTCTTTAGGGCTTACCTAAGACTTAGTGTTGCTTGACTCATTGACTTGACATGACTCACTTCATGTGACTCGTGTGTGCGTAGACTTAACTCGATGTGATAACACGACATGACTCAATGTGCACATAACTCGTGTATGCATTGTATTGTGATCGTGCGACTCAAAAATGCAAAAAAGAAAAAAATTTCCATCATTTTTGTGGAGGGTATTGACTTTCTGTGTTCTTAGAACTTTTCAGTTTTTTGCAGTATTATTTCGATTCTAGTTGTGAAAAATATTTCTAAAATTTTCTACATGTAAAAAATCCAATGTTTTTTTAGTCATTACGGATGGTATTTCTAATGAGAACCTTTTTTATGAATATGAAAATAATGTTAATAAAAAATACGCACATGAAATACTTAGAACTTTCTGAGTCTCATCCACTCATTCTAAATAATTGTCAAAATAAATTTGAGGAATTAAAATAGAAATTCTCCCCAGTGGAGTCGCAAAAATTGTAGGTAATATTTCAAGCATTACCCTAAACTTGAACCCCACTGTGATCATACACTTAAGTATGGTGGCGTCCAAATGGAAGGAAGCTAGAGCAAAAGAGTCGTCAACAAGTTTTAGGAACTTGTAAACCATTGATGAGGTGAAGGTTACACCCCTTAAAAATCCAAGAGATCGTTAAATCCAATAGGTCTGGAACAAAGACTGGAAGTTCGGAGATGAAGGTAAAAATCCAATCTAAAAGAGAAAGAACCTGTCGTAATAATAGGCCTCTACTTTATTCTTCTCATATTCATGTGCGCTTTCAGACTAACATGAAATCAATATGTTAACCCTAAACCTGTTTATCTATGTTGGTTGAATATTAATGCACAAATAACCTATCATTTGTGATCACTTGAATTATAATCATATTAACCTAAACAAGATCATTAATTATCTTCTTAAGTGTGATTACAAGTACCAATTTCCTTTAAACATGCATAAAAGTTGTGATGAAGCAATAACATTAGCAATATATCAAGCAACAGAATAATCATAATCAAAATAATAATAATCATAATTAAAATAATGATGAAAATAATCATCATTATAATAATAAAAATCATAATAATGAAAATAATCATGTTAATTAAAGTAATCATCATAACATTAATTGTAAAAATTATAACATAAATCATAAAAATAATCATAATCACGTTAAAGCATAATAATAGCAAGATCCTAGGCATAATACTAACAAAAATAATAACAAACCCTAGCATGTCACTAAAACAATAAAGGTCAAAGCTTTAACCCTAACATGGTACTATCATGATATTATGAAAAAGAGTAGGAAGCATTCTTTTAATCATACTTGGTATAAGAAACATAATTATTACCCTAAATATGATACTAATTGGAAGCAATAAAACATCCTAACATGATGCTAGGAATCAAAATAACGATCTAAGCATGATTTCTATATCAAAATATCAATTAGACAATTAAAGTACTTACTTGTATGCCTCGTATATGTTTCTAATAACAAAATACACGCGTTAGCAATTTCAAGGAAAATAATAAAATTAAAAATTAAATTAAATAATTGAAATAGAGAGTTGGGACCAAACCCTCAGAAATATCAAACCTTTCACGTCTATGGCGAAGGCAACTTCAAACTTTGGTAGGTGTGTCTGGTGCTAATGAGTGAGGAATTTTGTTTTTGTAAAAGGCTAGGCTAGAAAGAGGGAGAGAGAGAATAAGCTTTAGCTTAGAGAGAGAGAGAGAAGAATTAGAGAATTTGGGTTGAGAGTTGATGATTGAAAACAGAGGTCCAGGGACCCTATTTATAATCAAATAGACCAAAATCAATAGAAACAAATCAGAGTTTGAAAAGGAATTAAACAAAACTATGTTGCCAACAACAGGACCTATCTCCAGGCGACACAACCTGTCGTTTGGCGACGCAAGACATTTTTATGGATTTTGTTTTTAACATATCCAGAAGTCCAAATAAGTCATATAATATGTCTTTGGAAAGCTTTTGAAGTCTACTTTCTAACCCAATTACATACAGATTAAAATCTTTTGTAGATAAAAAGATATGGCCGAAATAGTGGAAGAGTGTCAGTTTTGGATAGAGTTTCATATTCTATTCATATCTTTTTCGTTATAGCTCGGATTTAATATTATAATATATCATTGGAAAGATAATTTCAAGATTTATCCATCCATATAAAATTTAAATTATGAATATTAGGCACAAAAATAATATCTGAATATATTTCATTTCGTACAAAACAAGGATTCTCAAAATGAGTAGTTTTATTCCATTTCAAACTCTTTGAAACATAATTATCAATCCTAACTCCTTTAGGATTTAAGAGAACCTTCTAGATTATTCGATAAGATATAATTAATCCTAATAGATTTAGGAATGATAATTAATAATAGGCCATCGTATAGATCATTGGGTCGTATGTAAGAACCAAACCGGGCCCAGTTTAGTATTTTTGCCATAACTTCCTCGTTATTCATCGGAATTAGGAGTATAATATATCGTTGGAAAGGTATTTTCAAACTCCATCCATCTACACTATTATTTTACCCTTGTTACGGACCAAACTAAACTTGAATGCATGTTTTCCAGAAATAGGGTAAGAAAAGAAATATATTCTAAAACAGAAAGAAGAGATATTTTAATAAAAACATCCTCATCACTAGACTTTTAACACTTTCATCTCGTTCGATAATCAAATGACATGAAAGGCATTCATCACTAGGTTTGGTTTTGGGGAGACACATTTGGGTGTCTACACAAGTCTGCTGTCGGAGCATTACCCAAGCAGTTCATCAAGAGTCCCAACCTCAGTTTTCACCAACTAAAGTTATTTGATCATTACCGGATGGGTGGCTTCATATTCACCATGGTATTAGATAACGACTAACAGAGAATATGAGTAGACGTCAATTTTGTTGTCCATGCCGCTTTGCACATGAGGATGCCGGCTACTAGGGCTACATATTCTGCCACATTGTTTTAGGCTTGGATTTTGAACCGTAGTGCATCTTCATATTTATCTCCTTCCACAGACTAACATATTATATCTGCACCACAGCAGTTCATAGTAGATCTCCCGTCTACATACACTTTCCAAACTTGATCAAGGTTGTCAGGAGCAACCGACCTTGTCATCTTGACAATGAAGTCAGCAAACGCCTGACTTTTCACTGCCTTTCTTGGTTCGTAGGTGATTTTAAGACTTTGCATTTCAATATGACATTTTAGCATTCTACCGGATGACTCCAAGGTTGTCATTGGCCGCTTGAGGGGTTGATTTGTTTAGATCACAACCGAATGTGCCAAGAAGTAAGGCTTCAACTTCTTAACAACCATGTAGAAAGCAAGGCCAAAATTTTCAACCATGGGGTACTGCAGTTCAACATTTCTGAGAACATGGCTAATGAAATAGACTGAGAGATGAATAACGTCTATCTCTGCAAGGATAACGACACTGAGGGCATTTTCTGAGATGGTTAAGTACATGTAAAGCGTCTCTTTAGGCAGAGGGCTAACAAGCCATGGCAAAGAGTGTAAATGTTCTTTTAATTTTTGAAAGGCCGCCTCAGCATCTTCCCCCCATTCAAATCTAGTCTTCATCATGATTGCTAGAAGTAAAGGCATTTGTCAGCTAATAGGCTGAGAAATCTCCCAAGCGCGACCAGGCAACTGGTGAGCTTCTGAACTTCCTTAATAGTGCGGGGTGACTTCATCCAAATTAGCATCTGTATATTTTCGGGTTAGCCTCTATCCCCCTTGAATCAATCAGGAATTCGAGAAACTTCCCAGACTTAACACCAAAAACACATTTTTTTTTGGGATTTAACATGACCTTATGCCGCATGAGTGTAGTGAATGTTTATTGGAGATTAGCAAGGTGATCCATCTGTGGCTTGGATTTGACTATCATGTCATCTATATACGCCTCTACATTCCTCCCAATCTGATTGATGAAGCATGTATTAATACTCCCTTGGAAAGTAGCCGACGCATTCTTCAAGCCAAACGGCATCACCGTATAACATAATAGCCCCAGATCACTGACAGAGGCCGTTTTCTCTTGATTTTTTTCCACATGATATCTGGTGAAAGCGAGAGTAGGAATCCATCAAACACATCATGAGATGCTCGACTGTAGAATCGACTAAGCTGTCGATCTTTGGAAGCGGGTAACTTTCCTTTGGACATGCCTTGTTCAAGTTAGTGTAATATACACACATGCGCCAGACACCATTTGGCTTCTTAGCGAGCGCCACGTTCGCAACCCAATCAGGGAAGTTAAATGGCCGAATGAACCCAGCGTCTAACAACTTTTTAACCTCGGCAGCTTTCGCCTGACTTCTTTCCACATTGTGGTTTCTTTTCTTTTGCCGGATGAGCTTCTTTTTAGGGTCCACGACGAGTTTGTGGACAATAAGATCCTTTTGAAATTTAAGATGAAACCTTTTGAAATTTATAAAGTGAACTAATGAGTTACTCTTTCTACTACAATGTATTTTTAAGATTAAACCTTTTGAAATTTATAAAGTGAACTCTCTTTCACACAAACTTAAAAAATAAGGATTACTAGCGCGCTACTAGAAAATTCATATAATCTCGACGCTATACCCTCGACACTATGGAAGACCGTCACAGCTAAATTTAGGATTCCGTGTTTCAATCACGCTTTTAAGTGTCATTTTGACTTTCTCGACAACTTTCCGCGTCAAGAACATAAAAATAGTCACGTATGCACGTGATATACATTGTAGCCACTAACCAGCGTTTTACGGTTATCCCCTTTCAATCCTACAATTCAACCTCCACCCTCACATCTTCTCTTTCCTCTACTCTCTCTTACGAGTCTCTAGTCTCACTCCTCAAATTTTCATTATTTGCTTCCAAGTTATGGTTAATGAATTTTTCTACTTTGTATGATCACAATATCTGAAATCTTCAAGGCAGTTAGGCATTATCGCAAATTTGCAGGTTCAAATTTTCTTCACATCTCCTTTTCTTAGTCTATTAAAGTCAATGGACAATTCATTTATGTTAGTCTTCAATTTTATGTAGTTTACTCCTAACATCACTCGTTTTGATTTGTTTTTAGGTATAATTGTATAATTTTGTATTTTAATTTGGCTATTTTGAGGTTTTCCCTAATCTGTGTTTATCAAGTGGTTTTTTTTTTCCTCTCATTTATCAATGATTTTGATTTTAGGTTGTTAATTTCTTACTTCTTTTTCAATTTTTTTAAAGATCTCGCCTAATATATCATGGATGATGAAGAAATGGAAAAAGCAATGAAGGATTGTGATTGTTCGTGAACTTTTCACACACTAACCTGGATGTCATGAAGCTAATTATCACCAGTACATAAGAGTATATTCTCTCTTCTTTAAATTTATTGTTTTTCCCTAATATTTGAGTATGAATTTCATCGATTTTTTATGATTTCGGTTTAGTTTTTTTTTTTTTTTTTTTTTTTTTTTTTTTTTTTTTTTTTTTTTGCGATTTAGTGTTTAAGAACTTTGTTGTTAATTAATTGATGATTCAATTGGGCAAATTTACTGTTTAATAAAACATTTGGATTTTTTTGGGTAAAATTTGGTTTAGTAGCAGGATTGTATTTTGATTGTGATATATTTTTTATATTAATTTATCATGTGCAAAATTTTCTATAACTGTTTTCATATAAAACAATCTTTGTGGTGAAGAGATGCTCTACGATTAAATATTTTTGCTCTTGCACCGGTCTGTTGAAATCACCTATCATTTTTAGGATCTAGATTAATAATGCTGCAAAATCACTTATGATTTTTATGGTGAAGATATGCTCTGCGATTATATATTTTTCTTTTCGATGTTATATAATTTATTCAAATTTCGTATGAATTTTGGTTTTATTATTGCAATAACACTAATACGTGTGGAATCGAATTTATATACTCCGTTTTAACTATATTTGGCAATTGAAAAGTCAACTAAGAGCTTCGTGTACCTGCTCATAGTATTAATGTAACAATCGAATTTTTGTATTTTGTTTTAGGTTTATAGTTTTTCTTTCAAGCATTTTGTCGCACACCTTATAGGAGTATATTTTATATTTCAACTTGATATAATTGGTGATGGTCTTGTAGTGGGTTTTTCCTTAGTCTTTTTCACATTCATTATAGCCCAGTTAGAATTTTATTGATCTCTGCTCCGCCTAGATTATTATTAGTGATGTTGCTGCCTTCTTTACTTCTGGACAACTTTTAGCCTTCATTGCAGTTCATGAGGTTGGAGTACAATGTATTTGGCACAGGTATCCTATAGAGGCGAGTAATGCACTATGTTCGTTCTTCGATTGTATAATCTACTCGTATTATTTAAACTATATCAAGCACAGTTTCTGTTGGTTTTTTCTCTACCTTGTTCAAATAAATATGATAAATATTGACCTATGTTTGCTCTCATTACAATTTCTGCCTGCCTATGTTTACAATCATCCAAATGTGTTTTTATGTCTCCTTGTTTGGTAGAGCACTTCAACTTTAATGCATTCTTTCAATATGTTGTTGTGCTTGCTGGTATATACTAGTCCTTTGGTCTTGCCAATTTATTTCCTTTAATCCAAGAATGTTGAGGAAGAACATTAAATATTCTAAGCATGATATTTTAGATGTAAACCAACTTATTAACCTCATAATTTTTTTGTAAAAGTTTACTTTTTTTTAATCTTTATATGCAAGTTTAGATGTGCTCACTCTTCAATTTCTTGTGTTATGTACTGGTTTATTTATGGCAGGGTTGATTTGCGTTTAAGAAGGGTTGTTTTGCAGGAAGCCAAATCCGGCTCAGCAGATTGGGACTAAAAACTTGAGTAAATGTATGGGTGATTTATCCTTTACCTCTTAGATTGCTTGTTAGTGCGAATGCATAGACACAAGACTACAAGAGGCCACCCAACCTAGATAAGCTTAAGAGCCGTATTCATGAAATTGCATAGGTTTCCACTCCTGAACAGGTAAGAAAACCCGTACAATGTATTCTTCCGAACCTTGCAGCCTTTGTAATTTCACTAGTTGTTTTGATGTATAGTAAAACTTCTTGCAGCTATGGAGCAGAGTTTTGCGTGTTGATCCGAGTCCTGAAAGGAGGCTGCCTTAGTATCTAGTCAAGTAGTATCTACAGAAGCATTGCGGTGTCAAGTTATTCCACTAAGAATGTCTTACCAAATCAGCTACACACTTGCATAAGAAAGAAGCTGTTAAATATATAAAATGATACGGAGTAGTAGTCTTCTTTTTTTTTGTTTAATCTAAACATCTTATAGTAGATAAGCATATTGTATGTAATTTTTATTTGTTTATCAATGTTTATGTGGTTAATATAAGAAAGAATTATGAATAATTTAACTTTAGTGATGTAATTTTTGGTACTTAACTATATCTAAATATATCTTGATTTTTAGCATCTTTTATCTAGCTTATTTTTGGTATATTTTGATTATTTTCTTAGTAATAATATAATTATTTGTCACTTTTTAATGTCAATAAACATTCTCGCATATTGGATACATTTACAAAGAGTAAGGACTACAAAAAGCGTCGCTAAATTTAAAAATATGGACAGAAAAAAGCGTCGATAAAATAGAGGACGTCTAACATATGACAAATAAAGCGTTGCAATTTTGTGATTATAGACAAATAAAAGCGTCGCCAAACCTAAGATATTGCGCGAACTAACAGATGTTTCGACGCTTCGTATAATAATTTGGACAATAAAAACCGTCGAGAATGGCGACGCTTTTAGGCGTCCGACAAATTTCTCGACTGACGTTTTTCCGACGCTTTTTTAAAGCGTCGAGAAAAAAAATTTCTGACCCTTTTTTGTGTCGAAAACAAGCCTTAAAAGCGTCCAAAAACCACGGAATTTCTAATAGAGGCGAATTGGCAATTGCCAAGGAGGACCTTCATTCTTTTAATTTTTTTGATAAACAAAATTGAAGTAACGCAACAAGAAACTCAATTTAATAATCATATGATTGCCAATCAAAATTAAAAAATAAACTCCTTTATTGATTTAGAAAAAGGAAAACGTCACACATTTGACAAAATAATACAGCTAAGTGATACGAGTACGAAACAAAACTTTTGTAAAGTGAGAAATGTATTGTAAGAAATGGTAGTTGCCATCAATCATAAGCCACAACAAAAGGTGTATTAGCCATGTGAAGTGTGAACTTAAATCTAACAACAACAAAAAAAAGTCAATATTAAAGTGGGCATATCTAGTTAAATGCCTTTACAAACCATGCCAAATTATTCTCAACCATTACTTAATAACCCCATTTCCACTCCACAACTCATCTTCACTTTCCCAAAACACCTGTGAACCACATCAATTTGTTTTAGCTTTCACACCCTTAAACTTGAGACACTCTCTAAAAAGTTCTAAATTTTTATATAAAAAAAAGTGTCAAGCTAAGTAAGGTAAGTGTTAGATTACGGGAAAACTTGTGGTCGCGATCATGGCAGATTTCAGAGTGGCCTTCATGTTTTCAATAGCATTATTGTTGTTCATCATAGCCGCCGGTGGTTACTCACCGTCATCAACTGTTGATATCGAGTTCGATGTCGGACAATGGATGGTCCCATCAACGACGTTGTCCAGTTGCCAAGGGACGATTGGGGAATGCTTTGAAGGGGATGATCAAGAGGAGTTCCTTCTTGACTCTGAGTCAAACCGGCGTATATTAGCATCAAGAAGGTATATCAGCTATGGTGCGCTTAGGAGGAATCATGTTCCATGCTCCCGACGCGGTGCCTCGTATTATAACTGCCGTCCTGGTGCTGCCGCCAACCCCTACCGTCGTGGCTGTAGCCGCATTACTCGGTGTAGACGTTAAAATCTTAAAATGTATTTATTATTATTATTATTATTATTATTATTACTATTACTATTACGGAATACTGTTATTTTTACAGAATATCACATTTTATTAATTTCATGACAATTTTTATCTCCTTGGCAATATATGCTTAAAATAGATTTATTTGTTGTACCAAAAATATACTATTAGCAATTTAGCATAGATTACGATGTATTTTAATTGCAGTTACTATTACTTTCTTTTTTTTTTTGACGGAAAAAAAAATTTACTTATACATGATAAAATTGTTATTTAATAATTAAAAAAATATATATTGGTGAGTGTTTTATTCGTCGTTTTACCAATGAAGTGGCTTTTGTTCGTGTAAAATTATTTAGTATCAATTATATTGATATATCCACAATCTGATCTTGTGAAAAAAAAAATATATATATTCTGAACATATTATTTCACTATATGCATATACAAAAACTTTTGTATACACCCGATTTACAATAATATTAGTGTAAATCAAGTAGTATAAGGGTAACTTTTAGCTAATTTTAGGGTAACTTTTTTCTTTTTTTTAGATAACTTTAAACATAATACACTTTTTTTTTATATAAATACACAACAAGAAAAGTTTTATAAAGGTAATAAAATTATATTCAATCACTAATATTTGATTTTTAGTCATTCAATCACTAATAAAGCGTAGATAATTTTTATTTGTATTGGGTTACTTTTATGCCTATTGGGATAACTTTTATTCATTTCAGGAGTAACTTTTGGGCAATTTAGACTATCTTTATAATAGATGTACAATAATTATTGTACACCTGATTTTTTAAAAAGTTTGTGATGTATATATATTAGTTATTTAAGCTGTCTCATGTTAAGATGTTTTCATCGAATCATTTCCACATTACCACATGGTCATGAAATAAATTAGTCAACAACAGCTTGTTAAATGATAGTTAAATTAACTATTAATATAGTATCATTCTAGTTGGTTTTTAGGGAAATTCTCATTGGTAGCTATATAAAATTGCACATTTTCAATGGTAACAAATTTTTTTACACTATTCTCCAAAATAACATTACTTTTGATAAGTTTCTATATTATGACAATGAATTTGTAATTAACAACTAATTAGATTAATTAAAAAGGAATTAAGTTTCTAACTAATAAAAAAATTCTTGTAAAAAAAATTACTAGCCATCCCAGCTAGGGATGAGCTAAAATTCTGGGTACCTGAAATTGAAAACAAAGCCGATAAGGAATCGGCGGGTTCGAAATTGGAATTGGACCCGGTGGTTCCAATTCTGGATGATAATTTAAGAACCCGGTTGCAACTGTTTCCAATTCCAATTCTCGAGTATTTTGAACCGAAACCGGTTGGATACCCGGTTACCCAACATGCATTTAACTAAATATATTTTATAAAAACAAAAATATGTTGAATATAACTAGTTTGTACAACTAAAAAAAATAATATTAATATTTAATGTAAATAAAATAGCTTAATGCATACTAAGATATAAATATTGAACCTAAAGTTAAAATAAACCAATAAAATATTATGATTTGTATTATATTTTAACACTTATGTATATGAGTGGGTATCCGGAACCAGAGTCGGTACCCGGTGGACTAATTCCAATTCCTAAATTTTAGGACCCGATTGTACCGGTTCCAATTCTGGTTCTAAATTTTAGGACCCGATTGTACCGGTTCCAATTCTGTTCTAAATTTTAGGACCCGATCCCAACAAATTTTGGGTCCGGATCCTAAAATTTTGACCGAGTACCTGATTTGCTCACCCCTATCCCTGCTACCTTGCCCCCACCTTCGCCACCCCCCACCGCCGGCGCGAACCCTTGAACCGCGCGCTGGCGTAGGCAACACCCCACCTCGACCCTCTGTTGGTTCCACACCCTTTCCTCCCTTTAACTACGCTAAAACCCTACCAACCCAATTCCAAGCCCTAGATTTTTAATTTGGGGGTTTAAGGGTTTTGTGTGGTGGTTAAAGGGCGGAAAGGGAGTAGAGACGGCAGGGGTAGGGTGAATCATGTTCGTCAACGCTAGGGAAAAGGTTTTAGCTTTAGATGGTGGGGGGGCTAGGGAGTGATTTTCAAGGGAGAGGTGGGGGTTTTAGGGAGGTTTTAAAGTGGTTCAAGGGAAAGGGAAGGTGGTTCGGGGTTGAGGTGGATATTGCCGGCTCCGGTGTGCGTTTTTAGGGGTAGTACACTGGTGGGGGGTGGTCGGGGTGGAGAGCAGGGTGGCGGAGGTGGGGGAAAGGTGGCTTGGATGGCTGATTTTTATTTTTTTATTTTTACTTTGTTAATTATTAAGTTATTTATTATTTAATTAAGTTTATTAGAAGTTAAATACGAAAATATTTTATGTTTGGGAAAATTAATAAAAGTTATGCTATTTTGGAGAATTTGTAAAAAAAAGTTTGTACCATTGAAAATGAGCAATTCTCTATGGCTACCAATGAAAAATTCTCATTTTATTAATAAAGCTATAAATACATTAATGTTTTGTGTATGGCCATCATATGGCCGCTTCCCCTTTTTTTCTTTTTCTCTCTTCTCTCATCTAGGTTTTTAGGTTTCTTGGCCTTTTAGGCCGGAGAGATTATTTCCGACTATTTTTTATTAATTCAATTTAGTTTTTTTTTTTTATTTTTAAGTTTTGGTTAGTTTGTGTTCTTTTGTTCTCTCCATCCATGAGAGTCTGTCACGATTTTTTGGGATTTTGATTCTCATCCATGGATGAGAATTTAATTTTTAAGGTTCTTATAATAATTGGAAAGGTGATTTGGATTCCTATGTGTTTGGGATTTGTCATCAATTGGCCGATCAAAACATCAGCGCAAATTACGGAGGTCTGAACTTGGAACGATGCAAAGACGTAAAAAATCATTGCTCGCGTCAAGCTTAAAGCGGTTGAGTATGAGTTTTAGTTATGCCAAATACGCAAATTTGTTATGATTTTGATTGTAAAATTTATGATATCATCTCTAAATCTATGAATTACAGATCTTTATAATTATAGATTTCGTATGGCTATTATTTAATGATATTAGTACTTCCCATTCAAAAAAAAAAAGGAAAAATTGCTCCCATTAATCTGAAATTTGCCTTGTTCGCCCAAATTAATCCGTACTTTTGATTATTATTTATCACTCCCAACTTTAGGAGGTATTAATTTCTATTGCACCCAACAGGTCATCCAACCTGATGTAGTAGGTTACCTAGACATGTGTCAGCGTATGATTGGCTTAAATTTTTTTTAAAGAAAAAAATTAAAAACCAACAAACCACCCATGCCCAGCAGCTGCTACCACACCCCCATCCCCGAAAACCCCTCCATTGCTGTCGAAAACCGCCGCCCTGCCTTCCCCCTCCCCCGAAACCCACCCCTTCCCTTCCCCCACCCCCGAAAACTCCTCCCCCACCCTTGAAAACTCCTCCCTCGCTATCGAAACCCCCTCCCCCACTGCCGAAAAATGGCACCCACCACTCCCCCGCCCTGAAAACCCAAATTCGCATCTTCCTCACTAAAATACCACA